CAGGGGAATGTAGCACTGACAGACAGGTTTCTGGCACTGAAACTGGCTCTAAAGTAACGGGAGGTACATCAGGTTCCAAGCGAGCGATTGTGATAGGGGGCTCTCGAGTCAGAGGCATAGACAGATGTTTCTGAGGCTGACAACAAGACATCAGAATGGTGCGTTCCCTCCCAGGTGCCAAGATCAAGGATATCTTGGAGAGGGTGCAGAATATTCTCAAAGGGGAGAGGGACTAGCAGGAGGTTGTTGTAACTATTGGAAATAACAACTTAGGAAGGGAAAAGGATGAGATTCTAAGGAGAGAATAAAGGAAGTTTGGCAGGAATTTAAAAAGTAGGTCCTCAAAGGTAGTAAAATCTGGATTGCTCCCAGTGCTACCAGCTCATGAGGGTAGGAATAGAGGGATAGAGCAGATGAATATGTGGTTGAGAAGCTGGTGCAGGGGAGAAAGATTCACATTTTTGGATAATTGGAATGTCTTCTGCGGTAGAAGTGACCTGTATAAGAAGGGCATTTTGCACCTGAATTGGAAGGGGACTAATATGCTGGTGGGGAGATTTGCTAGAGCTGCTCCAGAGGATTTAACCTAGTAAAGGGAGGGTGGGGCTGGTACCCAGGGAGATAGTGAGAAAATAGATCAGTCTGAGACTGGTGCAGTTGGGAAAAGAGCAAGTGAAACAGTCAGGGCAAACAGGAGCAAAGGAGAGAACAAGGTAGGACTGAAAAATTAAATTGCATTTATTTCAATGCAAGAGGCCAAATGGGGAAGGCAGATAAACTCAGGGCATGGTTGGGAACATGGGACTGGGATATTTTAGCGATTACAGAGACTTGGCTGAGGGATGGACAGGACTGGCAGCTTAATGTTCCAGGGTGTAGATGCTATAGGAAGGAAAGAAAGGGGGACAAGAGAGGATGAAGACTGGCATTTTTGATTAGGGATAACATTACAGCTGCACTTTGGGATGATATTCCTGGAAGTATGTCCAGGGAAGTTATTCGTGTGGAACTGAGAAATAAGAAACGGATGATCACCTTTTTGGGATTGCACTATAGATGCCCAATAGTCAGCAGGAAATTGAGAAACAAATTTGTAAGAAGACCTCAGTTACCTGTAACAACAATAGGGTGGTTATGGTAGGGAATTTTAACATTCCAAACATAGACTGGAACTGCTGTAGTGTGAAGGGCTTGGATAGAGAAGAATTTGTTAAGTGTGTACAGAAAATTTTCTGATTCAGTACATGGATGTACCTACTGGAGAAGGTGCAAAATGTGACCTACTCTTGGGGAATAAGGCAGAGCAGGTGACTGAGGTCAATGGGGGAGCACTTCGGGGCCAGTGACCATAATTCTATTAGTTTTAAAGTTGTGATGGAAAAGGATAGACTGGATCTAAAATTTAAAGTTCTAAATTGGAGGAAGGCCAATTTTGACGGTATCAGGCAAGAACTTTCAAAAGTTAATTGGGAGAGGAAATTTGCAGGTAAAGGGACGGCTAGAAAATGGAAAACCTTTAAAAATGAGATAATGAGAGTCCAGACACAGTATGTTCCTGTTAGGATGAAGGGCAAGGCTGGTAGGTGCAGAGAATGCTGGATGACTAGAGAAATTGAGATTTTGGTCAAGAAAAAGAAGGAAGCATATGTCAGGTACAGACAGCAGGGATTGAGTGAATCCCTAGAAGAGTATAAAGGCAGTAGGAGTATACTCAAGAGGGAAATCAGGAGGGCAAAAAGGGGACAAGAGATAACTTTGGTAAATAGGGTTAAGGAAATCCAAAGGGATTCTACAAATACATTAAGGACAAAAGAGTAACATGGGAGAGAATAGGGCCCCTTAAAGGTCAGCAAGGCCGCTTATGTGTGGAACTGCAGGAGATGGGGGTGATACTAAATGAGCATTTTGCATCAGCGTTTGTTGTGAAGAAGGATATGGAAGACAGAGAACTTGGGGAAGTAAATAGCGACATCTTAAAAAATGTCCATATTACAGAGGAGGAGGTGCTGGACATCTTAAAACCCATAAAGCTGGATAAATCTCCAGGACCAGATCAGGTGTACCTGAGAACTCTGTGGGAAGCTAGGGAAGTGATTGCTGGGCCCCTTGCTGAGATATTGCTATCATCGAAAGCCACAGGTCAGAGACTGAAGGTTTGCTAATGTGGTGCCACTATTTAAGAAAGGTGATAAGGAAAAGCCAGGAAACTATAGACCGGTGAACCTGACATCAGTGGTGGACAATTTGTTGGAGGGGATCATGTAGGACAGGATTTACATGTATTTGGAAACGTAAGGACTGATTAGGGATAGTCAACATGGATTTGTGCATGCAAAATCGTGCCTCACTAACTTGATTGAGTTTATTGAAGAAGTAACGAAGAGGATTGATGTAGGAAGAGCAGTGGACATGATCTATATGGACTTCAGTAAGGCATTTACAAAGTTCCTCATGGTAGGCTGGTTAGCAAGGTTAGATCACATGGAATACAGGGAGAACTAGCCATTTGGGTACAGAACTGTCTCAAAGGTAGAAGACAGAGGATTGTGGTGGAGGATTGTTTTTCAGACTGGAAACCTGTGACCAACGGTGTGCCACAAGGATCAGTGCTGGGTTCACTGCTTTTTATCATTTATTTAAAGGATTTGGATGTGAATATAGGAGGTATAGTTAGTAAGTTTACAGATGACACCAAAATTGGAGATGCAGTGGATAGCCAAGAAGGTTACCTCAGAGTACAATGGGATCTTAAACAAATGGGCCAATGGGCCAAAGAGGGGCAAATGGAGTTTAATGTAGGCAAATGTGAGGTGCTGCATTTTGGATAGGCAAATCAAGGCAGAACTTACATACTTAATGGTAAGGTCCTGGGCAATGTTTCTGAATAAAGAAACCTTGGAGTGTAGTTTCGTAGTTCCTTGAAAGTGGAGTCCCAGGTAGACAGGATTGTGAAGAAGGCATTTGGAATGCTTGCCTTTATTGGTCTGTGCATCGAGTACAAGAGTTGGGAGATCATGTTTCAGCTGTACAGGACACTGGTTAGGCCACTTTTGGAATGCTATGTTCAGTTCTGGTCTCCCTGCTCTAGGAAGGATGTTGTGAAACTTGAAGGAGTACAGAAAAGATTTACAAGGGCGTTGCTAGGTTTGGAGGGTTTGAGCTATAGGGAGAGGCTAAATGGCTGGGGCTATTTTCCCTGGAGCATTGGAGGCTGAGGGTTGACCTTATAGAGGTTTATAAAACAATGAGGGTTATGGATAGGGTAAATAGACAAGATCTTTTCCCTGGAGTGGGGGAGTCTAAAACTACAGCACATAGGTTTAAGGTGAGAGAGGATAGATTTAAAAGGGATCTAAGAGTCAACTTTTTCACACAGAAGGTGGTGCATGTATGGAATGAGCTGCCAGAGGAAATTACAAATTTAAAAGGCATCTGGATGTGTATATGGATAAGATAGGTTTCATGAGATATGGGCCAAATGCTAGCAAATGGGACTAGGTTTATTTAGGATACCTAGTCAGCATGCTGTGTAGCTTAATGACTCTATGATTTAGTCATAGAAACATAATGCAGGGGGTATACACATCACTGTTATGCTTTATTTACAGCATAAATCACTTAAATAATAATGCAACTTTACCTTAAATAAAATTTACCAGCGGAGAGCCTTCTCATTGGTACCCTCAACAGACTAATCGGACATTGCGGTATTTGAGGAGAAATTGACTTGAAATTGAATCAACTGTTGATATTTCGTGTGACCATTCGGTTGAACAACAAGTATATTTATATTGAGGTAAATAAATTAAAAATACTATAATAACTGGATAAAATAATACCATAAACTTTGTGATATTTGAAATATATAATTTTTGGTGGCTTATCAATAGTGCCAGTTAAAACAAAGTTAGCTGGATTCACACAGGACTTTGTTCTGTGTTGAAATCTTCCTAATCAACCTGTTCAGATGTATTAGGATATACCTATGGAGTAAGTGGGACTTGACACTAGGCCACCTGGCTCAGTGGTATACACACCACCACTGCATCACAAAAGCCATTCACCTCTGCATAAACAAAAGGAGTTTCTGCATGCATTGCACCTTCTTCATCGAGAAAGGTTTATGGAGATTGCTAATCTATGCATTTTCCATAGCAATGTCCCAGTGTCTACCTGCCTGGTCTGAGGATATTCACCTAAACAATCAACACCCTCTTCCCACGCACATTGGTGTTCCACTTGAAAGTTAGCTTTCTTGCTTCCCAGTCCTGATGATGCCAAAGATATAGCTTCAACTTTATGTCTCTTTTTCGCAATATCTAGTCTCTGAACTCCCAGTTCTCAAATGCTGTATTCGCCTCTGATCCCAAACAGTTCCAATATTTTTTAACAATCTCTCTCCCACTGCTCCCTCACACTCCAGCCTCTGATGCCTTGCATCCCTTCAACACCTCTTTCATATACCCTTCAAACCTCTAGCTCCTCAATCTATCCTCACTACAATCATATTGCAGTATGATAATGACAATCCAGCTGCCAGAAGCTGACAGCGTTTCATTCTTGCTGTGCGGGACTGGAGGCAGATAAAACTTTTTTTATTCACATTCTGTCATTAAGTTCAACAGTGCTAAAGGGAAATCCATTCTAGTTCTCTCCCAAACTTCGATCTTGTCAGGAGACAAAGTTTCCTCTATGCCTCCCAAGAAAAACTCCAGCCCTTTCGTTATTAATTCTTTTCATCAAAGGTTTTTGCATTTGACCAGTGTATGAGATATCAAGTGATGAAGGCAGAGTCTTTGTAAAGGATTGCTTCTAAGGAAACGTTGTTCTACCTTCTAGTAATTTCATTTTGAATAAAGAACAAGATAAAATATCTGCAATATCACATTAAAAATATTCATTTGAAAGATGTTTATTGAAAATCAATCAATTGTTGTTCAGTTGGTAATGGTTACGACAAAATTAGAAAATATCTAATTCTAAATGGGATTTGTATACATGTACATTATAAGTGGATTACAAGTTTAGCTGATAATATTAGCAACCGCGTTAATTTAACAGTTAAGCTGTTTTGTATTGAATTTTCAAAGAATAGATGATTTTTGCACTCTACTTAAAAACGTAAAAGATGAAGTTCTGGCAATCATTAAAAGAATTCAGTTGCACCATTTTTTAAAAATTTTAGGCTATGAACAATTTCCAACTCAATAAAGATTTCACAAGCATGTTCTTCCTAAAAAAGCAGAATGTTTGTCATTCAATAACTTGCAGCATGAATTACTTTGTTGATCCATGAGAGATAATTGTTTGATAAATGTGTGTAAACACCAGGTTTAATGTTATCCCCGCAGTGACTTCCAAATGAAACAATGCCACTGTACACATTTTGACGAAACCACTTCTTACATAATAATGGACCACCGGAATCACCCTGTTAAAGCAAATGTGAGAAAATAATAAATCAGTCAAGGAATGGCCATAGTTATGGGCAATACAGGCTGATCTCTCATGCCATTACGCATTGCACTTACACTTAGGTTTTTCAAGATTTGGGAAGTTCTTAGGAATACCTACCATAACTCCATTGAACTTCAACAGAAAGCCTGGAAATGTAATTTCTCTTTACTCTGTTTCTGTGGGATTTTTACCAAAGTGTCACTAAAATTTTGGTAGATAATTGGTGACTGCTTGCATAAATTCGACCTGTTCATTTTGTATAGACAGGAGCGTGATAGAATTGTTACATTATGAGCTTTGCTTCGACATTTGACTGGTATCCAAAATCCAGAAGTAAGTCTTCAATTTTTATGAAGCAAAGCAAGTTCATTCAAGCACAATATGCTGTACTGTAGCAAAAGGTATGCAAGATATAATGATCAAGGATATTGTACATGCTATGTATATTTATAGCAGTAATGCTTCTAATTTATTAAAACTGAAAAAAATATAAGGTCTGAAGCTATCCAATTATTTTGCAGAATGGTTTATAATTACTGAATTACATAATTAAGAAGATTTTATTTTCTTAATTCCTTAATAACAGTAGTGGTAAATTGATAGTATAACTATGTTGGAAGTCAAAGATCGAACGCTATATCTGTTGGAGTAAAATACTTTATTGGATGTAGATGTGCAGTTCTTGAGAAGAAAGATGACTTGGGAAAAGTAGAAGATGATAAGAGATCTTGAAAGGGGAATTCTGGAGGACATTTATCTTGAGGTGTAACTGGAATTGCGAATGAATGCAATACATCTATGGAGATGAGGGATTAGAACATAGAACATAGAACATTACAGCGCAGTACAGGCCCTTCGGCCCTCGATGTTGCGCCGACCTGTGAAACAATCTGAAGCCCATCTAACCTAAACTATTCCATTATCATCCATATGTTTATCCAATGACCATTTAAATGCCCTTAAAGTGGGCGAGTCTACTATTTTTGCAGGCAGGGCATTCCACACCCTTACTACTCTCTGAGTAAAGAACCTACCTCTGACATCTGTCCTATATCTATCACCCCTCAATTTAAAGCTATGTCCCCTCGTGCTAGCCATCACCATCCGAGGAAAAAGGCTCCCACTGTCCACCCTATCTAATCCTCTGATCATCTTGTATGTCTCTATCAAGTCACCTCTTAACCTTCTTCTCTCTAACAAAAACAGCCTCAAGACCCTCTGCCTTTCCTCATAAGACCTTCCCTCCATACCAGGCAACATCCTGGTAAATCTCCTCTGCACCCTTTCCAATGCTTCCACATCCTTCCTATAATGCGGTGACCAGAACTGTACGCAATACTCCAAGTGCAGCCGCACCAGAGCTTTGTACAGCTGCAACATGACCTCATGGCTCCGAAACTCAATCCCTCTACCAATAAAACCTAGCATACTGTATGCCTTCTTAACAACGCTATCAACCTGGGTGGCAACTTTCAGTGATCTATGCACATGGACACCGAGATCTTTTTGCTCATCCACACTACCAAGAATCTTACCATTAGCCCAGTACTCTGTATTCCTGTTACTCCTTCCAAAGTGAATCACCTCACACTTTTCCGCATTAAACTCCATTTGCCACCTCTCAGCCCAGCTCTGCAGCTTATCTATGTCCCTCTGTAACCTGCAACATCCTTCCGCACTATCCACAACTCCACCGACTTTGGTGTCATCCGCAAATTTACTAACCCATCCTTCTACGCCCTCATCCAGGTCATTTATAAAAATGACAAACAGCAGTGGCCCCAAAACAGATCCTTGAGGTACACCATTAGTAACTGAACTCCAGGATGAACATTTCCCATCAACCACCACCCTCTGTCTTCTTACAGCTAGCCAATTTCTGATCCAAACCGCTAAATCACCCTCAATCCCATGCCTCCGTATTTTCTGCAATAGCCTACCATGGGGAACCTTATCAAACGCTTTACTGAAATCCAAATACACCACATCAACCGCTTTACCCTCATCCACCTGTTTGGTCACCTTCTTGAAGAACTCAATAAGGTTTGTGAGGCATGACCTACCCTTCACAAAACCGTGTTGACGATCCCTAATCAAATTATTCCTTTCTAGATGATTATAAATCCTACCTCTTATAATCCTTTCCAACACTTTACCCACAACCGAAGTAAGGCTCACTGGTCTATAATTACCAGGGTTGTCTCTACTCCCCTTCTTGAACAAGGGGACAAGATTTGCTAGTCTCCAGTCTTCTGGCACTATTCCTGAAGACAATGACGACATAAAGATCAAAGCCAAAGGCTCTGCAATCTCCTCTCTAGCTTCCCAGAGAATCCTAGGATAAATCCCATCCGGCCCAGGGGACTTATCTATTTTCACACCTTCCAGAATTGCTAACACCTCCTCCTTATGAACCTCAATCCCGTCTAGTCTAATAGACTGTATCTCAGTATTCTCCTCGACTACATTGTCTTTTTCCTGCGTGAATACTGACGAAAAATATTCATTTAGCACCTCTTCTATCTCTTCGGACTCCACGCACAACTTCCCACTACTGTCCTTGACCGGCCCCAACCTTATTTTGAGATTTCCCTTTAAAATTTCAATATCAAGGTTGTTTTTAACAGGGTGTGGCATCAAGGAGCCTTAGCAAAACTGAAGTCAGAGAACAAACTCTCCATGATTGGATTCATAACTGGCACGTAGGAAGATGGTTGTCATTGTGGAAGGACAATTATCACAGCTCCAGGATATTTCTGCAAAGTTGCACAGGGTAACTATTTTCTAAACAATCTATTCAGAGATGTAATTACACACCACTGGTGCAGCTGACACTTCAATTTGTTCTTCATGGTCCAAGGATATGAATGAGTTCTTAGGCCCCTACATCTTCAGCTACTTTATTAATGACCTTCACTTCATCATAAGATCAGAAGTGGGGATGTTCGTTAATAATTGCACAGTGTTCAGGATTATTTGTGACTCTTCAGATACTGAAGCAGTCAGTGTCCATATTCTGCAAGACCTGGACAACACCCAGGTTTGGTCTGAAAAGTGACAACTAACATTCATGCCATAGAAGTGCCAGACAATGACCATCTCCATAAACTAGAATCTACCCATTACACCTTGGCATTTAATGGCATTACTATCACTAAATCCTGAACCTTCAACATCCTGCAGAATAACATAGACCAGAAACTGAACTTGACCAGCCATATAAATAGTGTAACTACATGGGCAACTCAGAGGCTAGGAATCCTGCAACAAGTAACTCACTTCCTGACTCCCATTGTCTGTCCACAATCAAAGAGACAGAAGTCAAGAATGTGATAGAATACTCCCCATTGCTTGGATGAGTGCAGCTCCAGCAACATGCAAGAAGCCTCACACCATCCAGGGCAAAACAGCCTACCTGATTGTGCAACAGTGAGTATCATCCGCAAGATGCACTATAGAAATTCACCAAGTGTCCTTAGACAGCACTTTCCAAACCAATGAACACTACCATCTAGAAGGATAATGGGAACATATTATTGGGAACATCACACCCATAAGTTCACCTCCAAGCCACACACCATCCTGACTTGGAAATACATAGCTGTTTCTTCAAGGTCACTGTGTCAAAATCCTGGTACTCCATTCTTAATGGCATTGTGCATGTACACCAACTGCCTTCACAAGAGTAACTAAGGAGCAGCAATAAATGCTGGCCCAGCCAGCAATTACCATGCCCCCTGAGTGGATAAAAAAAAGGAACAGGAGTAGGCTGTTCAGCTCCTCCAGCCTCTCTGACATTCAATAGGATCCAACATTCCTCACATCCACTTTGCTGCGTTTTCTCCATCACCCTTGATTCCTCGACTGATCAAGAAACTATCTCAGACTTATGGATGGATGCCCATTCTGGCTGTAAAGGACCGACGTGCAATGAATCTGATTATTGTCAAACAAGTTCCACATTGGATGTGGGCTAGAGTACAAATTTTTCCAAAGTGTTGTCACTTGTGAAATATTAGCCAGAAAGGAACAAAAGATAGTCATTAGGAAATGGAACCGTGATAGACACTCTAAGGTCTGATGTTCTGACATTGACAATGAAGAATGTTATCAGGTTAAAACAGAGAGAATTTTATTTAGCTATCCCTGAACTGCTAAGGCTTGAGTTTGAAGTAGGCAACCCAAAATCAACAGCATTTTATTCCTCATCTTAACAATCACAGAACAAATTTAAGAAAAAGGAAGTTACTTTGCTACCTTTAATGCAACAGTTTGAACATAAATTGGCAACTTACCTCACATACATCCTGTTTGGAATCTTGACCAAGCGCACATATCATGTCATTTGTTAGATTAAGTGAATATATTTTCTTGCAAATTTCCATTTTCAGGACAGTTATGTTAGCTTCCTTTAAAGTATCAGGGTACGATTTAGTTCCATCTTTTCCCCATCCTGCGACACTGCATTTGGTTCCTGGTTTGACACTTTTAGTTGATTTGGGCAGCTTTAGAGTTGAGACAAACTTGTTGAGAATGGCTTTATTCCTTAACTGTAACAGGTAAAGGTAAAATTTCAATGAGCAAATTATTCTATGCATATGTAATTATAACAAAGGAGTCCAGTTTTAGACAAAGAAGCAATAGAATCAGGAGTTCAGTTTCTTGCTGCAAGATCCCTATTCTCTGACCTGCTTTCTCTGAGACAGTCTTTATAAGCTTTGCTTAGTTCAGTTTCTAGTCAATGGTAACCCCCAGAATGTTAATATTGGATGATTTAGTGATGGTAATGCTATTGAAATTCAAGAGATAATGGTTAGATTCTCTCCTGTTGGAGATGGCTATTGCCTGACACTTTTGCCATGAACCTCCCTCTTCTTAGCTCAGGGTTGAATGTTGTCTGACTTGAGAGAAATTTTGGGATTTACATATACATATTAATCAATTAAAACCTTCTAACTGATTGAAGATTTAACAGCATCTTAAGTTGGTTAAATACATCCTCATCAGTGGTGTAACCTTTTGATCTTTTACTTATAAATTCTGTATCTGATACCAGCTCTCTCACAGACACCTGAAGAAGGAGTGAGGCTCCAAAAGCTTATGTTTTCAAATAAACCTGTTGGACTATAATGTGGTGTCATGTGATTTCTAACCTTGTCCACCCTAATCCACCATTGGCATTTCCACATTATTCCTACATTTCAACAGGGGCTGCTTCAGTGTCAGAGGAATCATGAATAGAACTTAACATTGTGCTGTGCAATTATCAATGAACATCCCCAACCCTGACCATATCAGGTAGGAAATAGCTAAAGATGGATGGTTCTAGGGGCACTACACTAAGGAACACCTGCAATGTTGTCCTTGAATGGAGATGATATGCCTCCAACAACCATATCATTTTCTTTTCAGATAAATATGACTCCAACCGAGGAAGAGTTTTTCCCCAAATCCCATTGACTTCAGTTTTGCTAGGGCTCCTTGATGCCACATTTGGTCAAATTCTGCCTTGAAATTGAGTACAATCATCTTTATTTCCCTTATGCCTTCCCTTTCTCTATATGCATTAGTGACTTTAGTTAACAAAAGTTACATCAGTTTGGAAGTTAAAATAGATCAATTGCCATTTATGGAATTGTTCCCATCATAGCCGTGGAGATGGGTGTGGTGAGAGAGGTGGATTTTGAGCAGCAGGACGTGCTTCCATGTTTTTTGACAGGAATTTTCTGTTCTTTAGTTAATGAGATGAGGGGGATAAAGAACTGAAGACAGGGAGTCAAAATTTGTGGAGGGAGCGGAAGAGGCAGTAAATGTTGGCGGGCACAGGGATGCCTGCATCTTCCGACAGAGAAAATGATTCTTTTTGTCATCACATCCATGCACCTTCCTTCATAAAACTTCCCCATTCTGAGATCCAGCTTTCAGATACCCAGGAACATCTGCCCAGTCTTTGCAGCCTCAGGAGGCAGAAAGCAACAACAATGTAGACCTGAAGAAGAGGCCCCTTTACTTGATCAGACACCCACAGTAACCAATCATAGTAAGCCCCCTTAGCAGTGCTAATCAAATAATTTGTTGCCCATTTGATTATTTTCTAAAGTGAGGTTTCTACCTGAAGCAGCATAATGTCATATCCAACAGAATCCCAGGTGAAGTTTGGATGTGGAAAGGTCTTCTTCAGCTTTATTGTCTGTTTGTTTTCTTGCTTGGAAAGCGAATGGGATCCAACAACTACTTCCGTTTCTGCTACTGTCATTCTTTTGCTATTGTTTTGAGAATAATTTTGTTACTTGCAAGTCAAAATGAGCTCTTTTTTATTATAAGAAAAGTAATTAAATCATTCTGACATTTGCGTTTCACTTTCTTAAAAAAAGAACCATAATAATTATACTTTGATAAGTGACAGGTCACTGGTGGGAGACAGAGTAAAAAAAAATCAAACTGGTGTTGCAATTAGATATTCCTAATCGACAATGCAGTTGAATTCTATGACAAGGATTTTGTCAGATTGGCCCCTTACGCATTTATGCTACTGCTGGGTTAGTCTAGGATCAGGATCACATCACATCAAATTGACTTTAATGGTAACAAAACCATAGTTAATATTCAGGCTGATTGAAGTATTTAAAGGGGGAAGCAAACTTGTTAGGTGCCTACTGACAGCATTTTGAAATGAATCACACTAGAATGACCTAGGGTGGATTATCCTGGTTCTAGCAACAAATTCACCTGTTAGAAGGTCTCAGTTTAAACTCACAAAAGTGTCAGCCTAAGTAATGTGGTCAAGTCTCTTGAGAGAAGCTTCAATGCAGAACCTTGAAATACAGCAATACAGTGCCACCACTGAACCAAGTCTGACATCTAGAGTTTCATTGTGGTCTTGAGAATTCTTTGTCAACAGAAGATATACATAAAACAAAAAGCATAGTCTTACCTGCAGTGCGCTGCAGTCAATACCCACTGAGGTTTAATCAATGCTCCCCCACATACATGTGTTTTGTTAATCTGAATAGATGCCATGTAAAGTCTTGAGTTACTCTTAACATCGTGACCCCCAATGATATCCACACAATCATCTACAATGGAGAAACAGATGAGATTAGATTATAGAATGTTAGTAGCTAAATTTGATAGTTTTTCATCTCAATATAGAGACAGTGTTATAACAAGATACATCAATAAAATATGGATCTAAGATTTATAAATACAAAATTATAAAGTTTATGTACTTACATCCTTGCATGGACAGGTAAATGACTGCGGTAATGATCAACACCAATACCAGTAAACTACGCATTTTTATTGTTTCTGTACGTGCAGAATCAAAGCAGCAATCTTTTTTAAAAAACTGACCAGGAAGTGGGAAGAATGAGTAATTGACCAAGATGATCAACACTACTGATAAGAAATGTATGATTTTAATTCGGTAAAATGTGATAGTTCTGAATTGCAAAATTAATTGCAAAATGCCGTAGGGTATAAAATGATGTCTTGGAATACCAGTACATGTTTGCTGGATTCATCCATGTGTTTCTGCAGATTAGATTTGGATGGTTTGTAACACAGACAACCAATCCCCAATGTCACTTTTCTTTCCACATCTTTAGCATGCTGAATGAAATGGATAATGGAAATTACTCAAGTATTGAATTTGCAAGTTTCCAACAAAAGTAACGCTTAGAATTATTTTATTCTATGTAGAGTTGTTGATATATGGAATGAACTACTAATAAAATGTGTTAACTCTAAAATTATAGGGGAATTCAAACCTGACACCAAATATGATTGTAATTCAAACTAGTTAGTATATTCAAACTAGTCTCGTAGACTTGATCCAATCACGCGGATTCCACATGGGGAAGGATTTGAGAGAGGGAAACTCCAAAGTTTCCTGTGGTTTTGCCATTTCTCTTTAGGATGGCTGCATGAGAAAGGATGCAATACTGAGAGAAAGAGGTTGGGAAGTAGAGGGAAAGTCGGGTTGGGGAGGAGAGAGATCATGATGACAGTGGGTTGGTGATTAGGAGAGTGAGATGGTGATGGGAAAAAAGAGCACAGATGGCGGTCAGAGAAGGATACCGACCCTGGATCATGGCAGGGTGCAGACACATCACAGGGATTATTCACAAGGCAATGTATTAGGTTGCCAGGCTGACAAGCATTGCCAAGAAGGCACTTGCATGACCTTATATCAAGCTTGTCTCTGTTTGTTTCTTTCACTTCCTGAGGGAAAATTGACTAGAATGGGTTAAAACTAAAAGTATAGCCTTCCAAAAATGACCAATGACCAACTAAAACTGACAGCAGATTATTCATCTACCTTCAATAAAAATATAAACAGGCAGGTTCCAGATAATTTATTAACAGAGGAATTAATAGCAAAAGTAGGCCACTCACTCCCTCGAACCTGCTCCACCATTCAGTAAGGTCATTGTTGATCTGATTAATCCACATTTTACATATCACCGATCATCAGTCAACCCCGTGTTCTCTTCCTTAAAAAGATTAAAATAATCAGATTCTACTACCTTTTGAGGAAGAGAGCCTCAAAGTTTCATGATCGTCTACAACTATATTTCTCCTTACCTCCGTTTTAAATGGGTGAACGCTTACTTTTAACAGTGACTTCAGAAATGAAAATTCAAACCTGATCAATCCCACCCATTTTGGGATTGAATATTGCCTGCAATTACCTCACTAGGCGGTTGTCATGAAAAGATTTCTTCTTTAATTATTCATATGAACGCATGTACATTTGAAGACAGAAACTAGAAAATAGGAGCAGGAATAGGCCTTCGACCCTTCAAGCCTGTTCATCATTCAATATGATGATGGCTAGTCATCCAACTCAGTATTGTGTTCCAGGTTTCTCCACATAACTTTCAATCCATTCAGTCCTAAGAACTATATTTAGCTTCTTCTTGAAAACAAGGAACATACGAACAAGGAACAATAGTAGGCCACTCGGCCCTTTGAGACTGCTCTGTCATTCAATAAGGTCATGGCTGATCTGACCTTAACCTCAACTCTACATTCCTGCATATCTCTGATAATCTTTCATCCCCTTGGTAATCAGAGATCTACCTTTGCCTTAAAAATATTTAAAAGTCCTGCATCCACTGCCTTTTGAGGAAGAGATTCTAAAGACTCACAACCCTCTGAGAGAAAAAATGTTTCTTTATTTCTGTCTGAAATAGGCAACATCTGATGTTGAACCCGATAATTGTCTTCCTTTCTGGGACTTCTATGTTTCAATTAAGTCTCTTCTGACTCTTCTAAACTCCAGAGGATACAGACCCAGCCTGCCTAGACTTTCTACATAAAGCATTCCACTCATTCCAGATATTAAACTGGAAAACCTTCTCTGAACTGCTTCTAATACAAGGGATATGGGCATCGCTGGCTAGTTCAGCATTTATTGCCCACCTCTCATTGCTGCGTCGACAGTTAAGTGTCAACTACATTACTAGCTGGTCTGGAGTCACATATAAGCCAGACCAAGTAAGGATGGCTGATCTTCTCGCTAAAGGCCGTTAGTGAGTAGAGATAAATGTCATTTTCCCTGTTTCTTTATGGGTAAAGATATAAACATTGCATTAAATATTGCATTCTTTTTTCTGGCCCCCTTCTGGTTTCCACAGAGCTGATAGCACTTCACTGAGTGCCCAATGGCCTTTTACATGTACTGCTGACCCTCTTGAAATCTGAGATCATCTGCCCATGGATGAACTTCTCAATTGTCCAGAAATGCACTTCACATCCTATAGATAGCACAGTGCTTGCTTGAATCCAAAACTCTTTACAATGTTAGTCTGAATTGCTGGATTTGCCCACAATTGAAATTAAGAAGTGCATTGAAATTTCATGAGATCAAACTTCAGAAATCACATTTTCCACAATGTCTGCAATGGAATTCTTGTTTAGAATGAAGTGTGGCTATCCTGATGCTGTACTGTGCACATTGGAAATGATGGTTCCTTTTCTTGGCACATATTTGTGCAGGCTAGTGGGATATCTTGATGTTGATCAATTCTTGATGTCACATTAGAGATGAGATGTACACTATTATTTACACTGCCAGATTTTGACAGACTGTCAGCAACATGCACTTCCATGCGTCTCATTACAGTAGAACTAGTACCCGTTTTAAGCTTAATTTCTAATAGCAAAGGCTTTAACGCTGTTGTTTTCTTTTCTTTTGAAACTTTGATGTGCCGCCAAAGGCCATAAACTGCGGTGTTGTTTCATTTTAACGAGATTACAACATTGAAGTTTCTTATGTTCCTATTTAGAATTAAAATTAGAATCAGCATTTTGTTTTATCACAACAGTTAAGGTTATTGTACTGCATTTTTGGTTGGTTTTGAAATGCTGGTACAGTACGCATGTAAAGACTGTTTTTTGTTTATTTTGCTGTATTTTAAATTGTGGACTTAAATGGGAAATGCCTATTTTAAAAGCCAAGGATTGTAGAAGGGATTGCTGCACTTTTTAAAAACTTAAAATTACTGGCCCTGATTGGAAGTCCATTTTATACTGCCATTTGTTCAAGCAATGGGGAAAGTTACTGCAACATGCTGGAGTCAAGGATTATGTGCAAAGGGTGATTCAGCCAACAACAAATAGCTGATTGGTCTGAGGAATGATGACCACTTGTCAATGACAAAGGCCTTCTGCTTGCCAGCAGCTACATATTTGGCGCTAAGGTAGCTGAACAGCTTGTGAGTGTGAAAAAGATGGGCAGGAGCCTTCAGACCTCTGGAAAGGGAAGTGGTGTCTTTTTCTCTGTACAATCCACCTAAAGCCAGAAAAATATCCCTTTGTTTTTCCTTACCAGTTGCTGTGGGCTGTTGGTTTTTGCCAGTTAGTCAGAGACTTTATTAATTGCGAACCAGTCTCTCTGTGCCTCCTGCAAGCAGGTAGAAAGTCCCTGAAGAAGAGAAATGGAAGCGCTGCAAGTCCTAGCAAGGCAGAATTATCATCCCAGTGAACTCTATGGACAGGGACAAAAGAATAATATACAGAGGCAATGAGCTGCCTTCTCAGGTTTTCCCTCCACCCCAACACCAATTTTTCTTTTGTCTGTTTGTGTAAAGGGAGTTTTATAGCAGAGATGATTTTAACTTAACTAATTGTTTCCCTGCAACTAGAATCCACTTATTTTTAATAATTTCTTATCGAGTACAGTAACCTGGTCCATGCTATCTATTAACCTGGCTATAAAACGTCAGATAAATTGGGGAATTCTGCGCACTTAGATGAAATCTTTAACTTTTGTTAGGATTCCAGGTTTTGCAAGGTTTGATGTCCAGCACAGTACCCCGCAGAAGGCTATTGTATACTGGTGCTTTATTTTACTTTGGCACTTCACAAATTAACAAAAACTTGTACTGACCTGGCATTCCATTTGGCTTATTTTGACATCAACAGCTGCTCACAAACTGAACACCTGGTCCTAAGCCCCACACCTACAACACACCTCCCTCCCCTCCACCCCTCAAAGTTCTGATTTAGGTTCCTAATGATTTTCAAACTTCCACATGGGGGCAACAGCAGGAAAAAATAAGGTTTAGGAGCTCTGTTTTAAGTTTGATGTAATAACCTATTTATAAGGATCTAACCTCATTTCTGCCAAAGATTTCATGTGACCATTCTTCCTCATTTGATATCAATAATTGGACTAATACTCATAAGAAGGATTGATGGCAGTAAATCTATCCAAGCCGTCTCAGATGGCCCCGATGGACACACCCACGATAGATAGCATACCAAAATAGCTGGAATCCAAAAATATACCAAACTTGGCATCAAAAGCTTAAAAACTGTGGCCCATAATTCATAAAGATAGTTATGTTTGTTGCATCTATTATTTCCACTACAGACTCAAAAGAGAATAATACAGAGTGTGATAATAATTCAAACCCAGTTGGTAGATATGGATTTTCATCATTCTGTTATCTCAATCTTAGCTATGAGTGAAACCACAAGCAGGGGTTAGGAGAATATGGGATATATAAGATTAAGTGCATTCCACTTGGCTGTCATTGCTTAAACATTCCATAGCATGATATAAAAAGAACAGGAAGAAGATAAGAGATAGTAGGAACTGCAGATGCTGGAGAATCCGAGACAACAAGGTGCAGGGCTGGATGAACACAGCAGGCCAAGCAGCATCATAGGAGCAGAAGAAGATAATGCTGATTATGATGAAGGTATCAAAAAGAATGAGATATGTCAAGATACATCCTGTTCTTCATTTCAAATGTATTTAACACCCAATGGCATAATTTGGAGGGTGGTTAGCTCAGTTGGCTGGCCAGCTGGTTAGTGATGCAGAGTGTCACCAACAGCATGAGTTCAATTCCTGCACTGGCTGAGGTTACCATGAAGGTCTTATCTTCTCAACCTTGATCCTCATTGAAGGTGTGGTGACCGTCAGGTTAAACTCACCACCAGTCATGCTCTCTCAATGAGACAGTAAGCCTGTGGTCCTCAAGGACTATGGTGACTTATATGTAATGGATAGACCAGAATACATCATTAGATTGAAAATAAAATCAAAGCTGGTAATTTATATAATTGTGAGAAAAATAACACACACTTTGCTCTTTCCATAATAGAGGAGAAATACTTGCCACAATTTATTTGACCAAAGAAACAGCATTATCCCAATCCTTTGGAATGCTACTCAGCTAAATTTGACACTAATTAGCTATCTTTCCCATTGCAGCATTCTGATATTTTGCTCTTTAAATCTCAAAATTTGGTGGCTGCTCAACCAAGTTATGAGACTAGTGAACAAGTGAAGAGACATTTTGACATGTGTAACTGCCCAATTGTTTATGTTCTATTTTCAAAATCATTACTTAAAGTACACACGCTTACTTTTTTTAACCAAATCATTTCTTTTCAATTTACTCCAACGTGGTTGTTGCCCATTTGCCTTTTTATGGTTTCCTTTATCCACTTGACGTAATTCTTCGATAAACGCATATAAATTCCAGGTTTATTCACGGCTTCGCAATCCTTTTCAAAGGCAGCAATACCAGCAAACTGTTTTATCAGAGTTTTACATATCAACGGTCCGCCTGCATCACCCTGTGACATAATGCACAATATATTAGAACTTTATATTGTATTAAACAATGGTTGTTGCAAAAGGCAACGTGATTAAAAGTCCCTCAATATGGCAACATTCTTTCTGGCCTGTGTCCAGATTATTCAAACAGGGCGTTTATACATGAGCTATTTACAGGTTTGATCTGTGAGGCTGTTCTGATGAACAAGAGGATACTTTACTAACTGACAGATATAGGTTATTAATGGGGTGACACTGCATATATTTCATGCAACTTTCGTTCCCTTGTCTTAAAGTATTATTTTCCTAAAGAACAAAGCTTTAGTGTTGTGAGCTTCCAACCAAACATTCCAATTCTAATGTTGTTGATGTTGAACTTATTGTTGTGGCTGATGGTGGACCCACATTATAGCTGTGATTCTTTCCTCTCAGCATTATCAATTGGAGCACCAACATTATTTATTTCATAAACTTCTGTACAAACTATTTAAAGATCCAGATGAATAGTTCCAATCCAGAAACGTATTGCACTCCATGTGGGTGTGTTTCTAAAGGGTCATGTAAACCATGTTGGGTTGATTTGAATTATTAATTGCCACATGTATTTTGTTAGAAATACAGTGAAAAGTGTTGTATAAAGAATCCCTACAGTGTGGAACAGGCCCTTTGGCCCAACAAGTCTGCAGAGAATCCCACACCGACCTAACCCCCTATTAACCCACCTAATCTACACATCCCTGAACACTACAGGCAATTTAACATGGCCAATCCATCTAACCTGCACATCTTTGGACTGTGGGAGGAAACCAGAGCACCTGGAGGAAACTCACGCAGACACGGGGAGAATGTGCAAACTCCACACAGACAGTTGCCCAAGGGTGGAATTGAACCCAGACTGCTGGCGCTGTGAGGCAGCAGTGCTAACCACTGAGCCGCCGTGCCGCCCATTATGTTATCACTCTCCAGCGCCATCTTAAAATACAGGAAAATAAACCAAAATAAGGAATATAAAGACAGAAGAATAAAGAAATAAAGAGTGTTCAACTGTACGGTCTTTCTTGTTAAGTGTTCCATCATGGGCCATGGGCCTGGTGGCCAGGCACAAGTCCCCTTTGCCATGCCACTGCTGCTGGAAGAAAAGACGCTACTCTTCTGCACCATCTTGCCTCCACCAACATCTTCGTCAATGCTGATGCCACCAATGCCACTCGGTACCGCATGGCCCAAACTCAACTCTGCCGCTGCCCCCACAAGTCTGCTTCAGGCCCACCTCGCCAATGCAGCCACTGTTGATGCCGTAGAGTCTCATACTGGGCCCAGACTTGCCTCCACCATCACTTGCATGAATCTGCGTTGTACAGAGACGCCACTGGGAGCCCAAACTCGCCTCAGCCACGGAAGTTATGAGTTGGCGCAAGGACCGGTTTGTCGATGTACCCAAAATCCCTCTGACGCCGCTGCCATGAATCTGCGCTGGGCCTACTTGCCACCGCCAATGTTGTTTCTGTGATTTCCCAAGCTCTTCAACAAAAGTTAAAATAAAAAAGAAAAAAAAAGAGAAAAAAAAAAACGGAAAAGAGAGAGAAAAAAAGAAAAGAAACAAAAAGAAAAGCGGACAGAGTGGACAAGCCCTAGGCTCAGAAGCCCTACTCCACTGCTATCTTACTGGAAGAGACAACTCACTACCTTTTCACCCAACCACAAACCTACTCTCATACCACACAAAGTGGATGGACATCAAAATCAGCTGCCCACCATATTCAATTAAATAAATAGATAGAATTGTTAGTAAGCTTGCTCATCTGAATAACACAGTGTCCACACCATTATGCTGGCAAGCCATTTTTAAAGGGATGCATGAGAAAAGGTAAGAAGAAAATGCATCTCATTCCTGCAGGGCCTTGTGACTATTTTCAACAAAGGTATATGTCCCTCACCATCACCTACACAAACTGCCCAAGAGAGACCACTGTCCTCTCCTCAATTCTCAGATTAGCATCCTGGGGTGTGCGTTTCTGAGGCAGCCAGGATCATTTTCAACCTTCTTCCAGCAGTATCCATTCTGGTGTTGCTGAGACTGAAGGCCAGGGACTGTTTCCCTCTGACGGGTGGAGGTCCCACTAAAAGCCAATGTAGCCCCCGTGGATCACATTATGGCTGCAGCATTGGCCTAACAAGAGTGGGCTCCAGCCTACGTTTCTTCCAGGAGAAATCCAGTCCCATGTATCAGAGTGAATCAAATCAACAACTCAGGAGGTAAGTTTAGAAAAAAATCAAAGTTAGCTGAACTTTAAATCTAATGTGGTGTACATGACTTCCAAAGGCATTTAATGAATTAACACAACAGACTTGCCAGTGGTGCTGAAGGCTGTGGAATAAAAGGGGAAGTGCCAGAACAAGTGTTTCTCAGATTGGACAGAAGGTGAGGTTTCTCAGAGACTGGTATTTGGGTCACTGCTTTTCTTGATATCAATTAATGATATAGACCTGACGCACGGGGCACAATTTCAAAACTTTCAAAACGGAAAGTCAGGAAGTAGTGTGCACTGAGAGGAAGGTCATAATAAATTCCATGAGTTCAAAGGCAGGCTGGTGGAATAGGCAGATGAGTGGCAGTTGAATTTTAATGTAAAGAACAATGAATCACAGAATCATAGAATGTTTATAGCCCACATGACCCTTCATATCTGCACCAGCTGAAAATAATCCATACAGTCTCATCGTACTTTTCAGCACTTGGTCCACAGCCTTGCAGGTTACAGTACTTTAGCTCCATGTGCTGATATCTCATCAATGCTTTCAGGGTTTCTGTCTTTAGTACAATCTCAGGCAGTGCTTTCCAGACCCCTACAACACTCTGAGTGAAAGTAAAATCTTTCCTAATCTCCCTCCTAATCCTTCTACCAATCTCTTTCAAATTAAGCTCTCCAGTCACTGATCTTTCCATTCAGGAAATGATAATGATGCAGGGTGCTATTGTCACTGGATTAGCAATCCAGCGATCCAAGTACTGTTCTGAGGACCCATTTTTAAAAATCTAGAATTTAAAATGTCTAATGATGACCATTGTACACAGTTGTAAAAACACATCTGGTTCATTCATTTCCTCTACCTGATCTGGCTTGCATATGACTCCAGGCCAATGTGGTTGATTCTTAACTGGCGTGTGAAATGACCGGGAAAGCCATTCAGTTGAAAGAATCGCTAAAACGTCCCAAAAGAGGAATGAACAAGGCTGAACAACCTAGCATTGCCCTAGGTTTCAGAAATAACACCAGCAAACTTAGCTCTGTAGACCATCATGGATATCTATGGGCTGGTGCTAAAACTGGGTTAGCTCTCACGGATTAGTCAGCTAACAGTCTGACCTATTCATGGAATCATACTTTACAAGCAAAATCCCAGACAACACCATCACCATCCCGAGACATGTCCCAGCAGAGGGAGGAATTGCCCCTGAGAGACCTCAACATTGACTCTGGACCTCATGAAGTCTCATGGTATCAAGCCAAACACAGATGAGAAAATATGAAATGGTTTCCAAAGGGGCGTTGAAATAAAATCTTTAAAAGAAATATTGAGCAGAGGTATGACCAAAACCCAGGGTCTGGGACTAGATAATTTGCTCTTGCTGAGGGTCATAGTGCACGCGAATGGGCTAAATGGCCGCATTTGGTGCTGTAATCATTGCATTATTCTATATCTATGATCCAACATTTTAGACCATCACAAGTTATGTTTGTACCTAGTTCTATTAAAGCCATTATTTTTGAGAGAAGACTCTTCTTCAGTTGCAGGTTGTGTGATCACCTGGGGCTTTTGTTGATTCCAGGATGGGACTCAGTCTGTGCAGCAGGAGGCACTGCAGGGTCTTCTATATTATTGAGGGCAAGGTGATGGTCCTTAGCTGTGAGGCTTCCCTGGTTTGGTAATCACGGCCAATCTCTTTGATGAATGCCTGATGTTTGGAATGGTAAAGAGCTTTGCTAGCCACTGCGATCTGATTTTCTTCAGCAGTTCTGGATCAATCCCATTGGCCTCTGCCTTACCTGACTTTGCACACAGGCTGTTGTCTACTTCCCCTTAGGTGTAATGACCAATCCTGTATTTTAGTCAGATCAATTATTCTCCTGGCATACACTTAATACATATTTAACAATGATGTTTATAACATTATTTGTAACTTACCCTGCACATTTTAGCCCTCCCCTTTTCATCACCAGCACATAACATATCATCTGTTATGACTGGATTAAGGTTGTAGTAGATTTTACTGTTGCAGAGTTGCCGCTTTATGACAGTTAGATTAATTTCTTTCAAAGTGTCAGATGAATTGTCATCATCAACATCTGTTTGTCCCCATCCTAGAACGTCGCATTTTGTTCCATATTTAATATCTTTTGTTGATCTTGGCAGTGAGAGGGTCCTTACAAACTTATTCAGTTTTGCAGCTTGATCCAACTAAAATAGAGAGAAGGAAGGTTTTTGTATACTCATTCACAAGATGTGGGTGTCACTGGCTCAGCCATCGTTTATTGCCTATCCCTTATTCCCAGAGCGCAGTTAAGAGTCGACCACTTTGCTTTGGGTCTTGAGTCACATGTAGGCCAAGTCAAGTAAGGATGGTATTTTCATTCTCTAAAGGGCTTTAGTGAAACAGATGGATTTTTCTGAAAATTGACAATGGTTGTGTGATAACCATTAGACTCTTAATTCCAGATTTTACTTTAAATTGAATTCAAATTCCACTGTCTGCCATGGTGGGATTTGAATGGAGGACTCCAGAGTGCCTGGGTCCCTGGTTTAATAGTCTAGTTACAAGGCCATCACCTCCCCAAAGGAATAGACTTTTTGACAAGAATATTGTGTAAAAGGGAACATTGCAGAAATAGAATCTCCTATGCTGGAATCCTATGTGCATTTTTTTTTTCTGCATTTATATGCAGGTTTTGAAGTGAATTTAGTTTTTCCCAAATGTATTCATTACGTTGTGATTAAAGTTTGCAAAATGTTTGTAGGAAAAGAGAGATGTGGAAGTATATGAGCAGACATCTTTGAACATATGGCAAGATGACATGAAAAAGTTGTGAAATTTAAATCTGAAGTTCTTAGCTTTGTCAACAGAAGAACAGAATACAAAAGTGAAGAGGTTATGCTCAGAGAAAATAGGAACTGCAGATGCTGGAGAATCTGAGATAATAAGGTATAGAGCTGGATGAACACAGCAGGCCAAGCAGCATCATAGGGGCAGGAAGGCTGACATTTCAAGCCTAGACCCTTCTTCAGAAATGGGGGTGGGGAAGGGGGATCTGAAATAAATAGGGAGAGAGGGGGAGGCAGATAGAAGATGGATAGAGAAAAAGATAGGTGGAGAGGAGACAGACCGGTCAAAGAGGTGGGGATGGAGCCAGTAAAGGTGAGTGTAGGTGGGGAGGTAGGGAGGAGATAGGTCAGTCCAGAAGGGACGGACAGGTCAAGGGGGCGGGATGAGGTTAGTAGGTAGGAGATGGGGGTGGGACTTGAGGTGGGAGGAGGGGATAGGTGGGAGGAAGGACAGGTTAGGGAGGCGGGGACGAGCTGTGCTGGTTTTGGGATGCGGTAGGGGGAGGGGAGATTTTGAAGCTTGTGAAGTCCACATTGATACCATTGGGCTGTAGGGTTCCCAAGCGGAATATGAGGTGCTGTTCCTGCAACCTTTGGGTAGCATCGTTGTGGCACTGCAGGAGGCCCAGGATGGACATGTCGTCTGAGGAATGGGAGGGGGAGTTGAAATGGCTCGCGACTGGGAGGTGCAGTTGTTTAGTGCGAACCGAGCGTAGGTGTTCTGCAAAGCGGTCCCCGAGCCTCCGCTTCGTTTCCCTGATGTAGAGGAGGCCACAACGGGAACAGCGGATGCAGTATACCACATTAGCAGATGTGCAGGTGAACATCTGCTTGATGTGGAAAGTCTTCTTGGGGCCTGGGATGGGGGTGAGGGGGGAAGTGTAGGGGCAGGTGCAGCACTTCCTGCGGTTGCAGGGAAAAGTGTTGGGTGAGGTGGGGCTGGAGGGGAGTGTGGAGCGGACAAGGGAGTCACGGAGAGAGTGGTCCCTCCGGAAAGCATTTAAGGTTGGGGAGGGAAAAATGTCTTTGGTGGTGGGGTCGGATTGCAGATGGCGGAAGTGTCGGAGGTGCTCAACCTTGATAAAACACTGCTTAGATCTTAGCTGGAGTATTGTGTTTAATTCCGGGGGACACCACATTTTAGAGAGCTGCAGAACCACAACACAGGGCGTTTGAGACGATATGCTGGAGAAACTCGGCTTTACATTTATACTTGGAAGCAGGATCCAATGGCAAGGCCAGCATTTATTTCCTAGCCACAACTGCTGTCTTGTGGTAGTTAAGTAAAAAATCATGTTGCTTTGCGTCTGGGGTCATACGTAGGCCAAAACACATCAGAATTCCTCTCCTAAAGGGCAAGAATGGACCAGATGTGGTTTTATAACAAGTTTATGCTTGCGTCATAATTATTGACCAAATTAGAATTTTATCTCAGATGTCTCACCAGGTGGCCTAGTAGTTCAGTCGTTAGCCCTCCCAGCAGCAGGGACCCAGGTTCAGTTCCACTCTTGGGCGACTGCGTGGAGTTTGACTGTTCTCCCCATGTCCTTGTGAGTTTTCCCCAGATGCTCCAGTTTCCTCCCTCAGTCCAGAGGTGTGCAGGTTAGGTGGATTAGCTGTGCTAAATTGCCTGTACTGTCCAGGGATATGCAGGCTAGGTGAGCTAGCCATGGGAAATGCAGGGTTACATGAATAGGGTGGAGTGCTCTTTAGGGGGTCAGTTCAGACTCGATGGGCTGAATGGCCTCTTCCCACACTTTGGGATTTTATATTAATTACTTGTGTTTAAATTCTGCCATATGACATGGTGACATTTGAACTGAAGTTTTCGGAGCATTGGCCTGGTCCTCTGGATTTCTAGTCCAGCAACTCTTACTTTTTTATATTCATTCATGGGATGAGGCAGCTTTTAATGCCCATCCCTAATTGCCCAGAGGGCAGTTAAGAGTCAACCACATTGCTGTGGGTCTGGAGTCACATGCAGGCAGTTTCCTTCCCTAAAGGACATTAGTGAACCAGATGGGTTTTTCCAACAATCGGCAATGGATTTGTGGTCATCGTTAGATTGTTAATTCCAGATATTTACTGAATTCAAATTCCACCATCTGCCATGGTGGTATTCGAACCCAGGTACCCAGAACATTATCTGGGTCTCTGGATTAACAGTCCAGCAATAATACCAGTAGGCCATCGCCTCCCCTAATACCACTAGGTCGTCACCTCCCCTTACTGTACTACATGCTGATATACCCTCAAATTATGACCACGCTCATTGTACCCAAGAAGATGAAGAGATTTCACAGAGGTGTTCAAAATAATGAACATCTTTGTTAGAGTAAATAAAGAGAAACTGTTTCCAAAGGTAGAATGTTTAGAGGTTATAGATTTATGAAGATTGGTAACTGTTCGGAAGAGTGATGACAGTTGATTTACTAGAAACACCTAAAAGAGAATTGTTTCAAATGTTATGATGTGGAGGTGCTGGTGTTGGACTGGGGTGGACAAGGTTGGAAATCACATGGCACCAGGTTATGGTTTTAAGAGAAAAAAGAACTGCAGGGGAAAGCTTGGGTATGTGAGTTAATTGACAGGCATGATAAGGACAAGTTGCATCTTATTATGATGTATGATTCTGTTAAATAAAGCAAACTTCTATAATTTTCCTATGATTACTGCCAATTTTATCTCAAAAGTTTGTATAAAAACTCAAATGCAATGTGTATTTTTTGATTATTTAACAGCTTAGTGATTAAATCATGGATTTTTCACTTAATCCATACAATACTAACAGGATAAACATTCACACATTTTGTATGTAATACCTTGAGTAGCGCCAAGTTGTTCTGTTCTGTGTTTTTGCTGTACGCAGGGTGTGGTTTTGCAAAGATCACGTTCAATGTTTGTGCTTGCTTTTTGTCTTTCAAGGAGTGGGTCCCAAGAACAACTGTGGTTTTTATCTTTTGAAAATAACAACTTTATAACAAGTTAAATTACTGTACTGTAATGAAATTTTGAGATTAAAATATCATGACTTGCGTTTTGAACATGCATTTTCCTAGACCTTGCTATGAAAATCTTAGGAAAAACCTACAATGAGAAATTTGATTTTAAGTTGTCATTGGAAAAATATGAAAAATGTATATTTCCTAGGATTGCTTCTATTCATCTCGAATAGCACAAAACAGATCCCAAACATAAGCCAATTTTTGACTTATCAATATTCTCAATAGGAAAGAAAATAACATAAAAAACTGCAGAAACAGGGAGTTGCTGAGTTGTAAAGTTATTATGGTCCAGGAGAAGGCCACTTAACCCATTAAAAACTGAAAGAACTGTGGATGCTGTACATCAGGAACAACAACAAAGTTGCTGGAAAAGCTCAGCAGGTCTGGCAGCATCTGTGAGGAAAACAGCAGTTCTGAGGAAGGGTCACCGGACCCGAAACATTAACTCTGTGTTTTCCTTCACAGATGCTGCCAGACCTGCTGAAATTAACCCATTAAGTTAACCCATTGGCTGTCTCCAAAACAATCCAGTAATCGCCATTCCCCCATTCTGTCATTTTATTTGTCACAAATGACTATAGAATTTCCTTTTGAAATCATTGATTGTCCCCAGTTTGGCCAACTTTGTGGGCTGTGACTACTGAACCTATACTGATAGCTGCACAAAAGAAATCCTTCCATACATCTTCTCTTACCCAAAACCTTATATCAGTGTGACCTAATGCTTAAGCAATCAGCTAATGTGAACAGCTTTTCCTTGACAAATTTACTTAAACCTATCATAATCTTGCGTAGACCATCTATGGAAATCCTGTAACTCAGTAAGTTGCACCCTGCCTCTAAGCCAGCAAACCCCACTCCAGGCCTTGGCCAGGTTTCATGATGCAGTTCAGTAAGTTTACTAATACCTCTTCATAATAACCAGGAAAATAAGTGTGCTTGAAAGTACAAACCAAACACATCATTTGAAATAAAATTATCAAATGCTTGGGATGCACAGTAGGATCATACATCCTTCACAGTCATTGATAGTTCTGTTGTGTACATTGAGAGTATAACGCACTGCCTTGCGCAAAACTCGCCTAATAAAAAGACACTACAATTCCTCATATTCTTGTGGCATATGTTATTATCCTTATGATTATGTTTACCTGTGCTAATTTACCCTGAAATGTAATTGATTTTCTAATATATACAACAATAAATGGATTTGGGTGAAGGAACCTCAAATTATGTCTGGTATAATTCTCCAGGCGCTATTAGACAAGAGATTTAAAATTATCTATCCATTCTAGATCCAAAATCAGATCCTGAAGATGTAAAGGTGCCAAATTTTAAATTATAATGCTGAAAATTATTTTAAAAACAATTCTAAAAAAGCTGTATAGAATACATAAAATTTTGGATTTTCTATAATTTAACTTTAACAATACATCACTTTGTAAAGGATTTCTCAAAGGATTCAGAGACGAGGCAGATATTCCAGATCGTAGTTCACAAAAGGAATTGGTTTGGGTGAAGTAATTCAGCCAGATACTCATTTTATGACTATGGTTTCTGACTCGATGATTTCAGAAGAATAAGGTATTGATAGTCACCAAAAATTTCAATACTTACAGTGCACAGTTTGCTGAAGTCAAGACCCACTGGGCATGGATTAAAGTTCCTCCACAAACATGTTCATCTGCACATTGGATGGATGCCATGAAAGAACCAGAACCACGTTTAACATCACGTCCCCCAATAATTTTCACACAGACACCTACAATTAAAAAAAACTATTATCATTACAAATATTAATGAAGTTAAAACTGAATTATTTGCACTTAAATACGAAGGAATCTATTGCCAAGTATTCTTACAACCATGATTTGCTAAGGCATTGATTATTGATGCAATAAAGACTACTTGAAACATTTTGCTCATTTTAAGAAACTGTCAGCAAGCAGCTATGCTTTATAGTAGTTTGGGAGGATGTGGTATTAGCAAGTTAGATTGAAGTATAGAAGTTATATTCACAATATGATGAGACCTATTTTTTTAATATCCTTGTTGAAACTTATTGCCAGAACCACAAAGTTCAAAATTGCACCCATGTTATGAGAAGAAGCTAGTTATTTGTAGAAATGCTTAATCACAAACATAATTATATTACAATTAAAATGGAAAGAACTGTGATGCTGGATATCAGAGATGAAAACAGAAATTGCTAGAAAAGCTCAGCAGGTCTGTCAGCATCTGTGGAGAGAAATTAAAGTTGACAATTTGGATCCAGGGACTCTTCCTCAGAACAGTTCAATGGAAAATTCACTAATTCTCAACTTAGGCCAGATAATACCACTGAATGTCAATGTTTTTGTTTTCAAAACATTTGTTTTCAAGTGAAGTATAAATTTAATGCAGGTTAACAAATGGGAGAAAAAGCTGTAGAGTCAAAGATGCCACATTTTTTATTCTGGTGCTGACTTAAGGGTCGTAAGTGTGGATGAGGCCTTGAGGCCATTCAAGGACCTTTTCGGCCTTGATGTACACAGGTTGAGTAATGAGATCAGGCCTCGACATAGGCAAGTGATATTATCAGGTTTTTTTAGCTACAACTTTGTTTACAAAAGCATAGGAGAGGCCATCTTTGAGGATCCTGACACACTCAGGTCCAAGATCCATTTGGTTTTGCCGTCATTGTGACATAATCTCTTACGCACATGTTGACAAGCTACTACTGGAGCAAATGTACGACTAACCTTTTACTCCTCAGGACAGAGGTAGAAAGTTGATGGGTTTTTGGCCCAACAACAATTAGGTGAGAAGGGGTGAACTGGCTCTCCTGTGGTCAACCTTCTCAGTTTGTCACAACAAAGGTTTGGGTTTTGCAAGAAGCTATATGCCTCACTGCAATAAAACATGTAGTTAAATACTTTTCGCTATATATCAATCAACAAGTTTTGCTTGAGTTCAAAAACGAGCAAATTTACTAATCATTAAACCCAAGCCAAATCATTTTTTAGAAATAATGTCAAGCATATGGCTTTCATGCAGCCACTTGGGCCCACACACACACAGTTATAAATTAAAGGGGAATACTGTCCAATACAAAGGAAGGTAAAATAATATATAGTGTTTGGAGTCCTTTTTTTGACTGTGAGGTGTAAAGGTATTAACTTGAGGCTGATATTTATTGCTTGTTCCTTGAGTGCAGTCAATTATAGCAAATATGCAGTTATTAAGAGCTCTCGGTTCTTTGATAAATTTTCTCTGTCGCTGTTTCTGTAGAAATCAATTGCCAACTGTAGAGACAGAAAATATAGCTAGTAGCTTCTCTTCAGTTATCTACAAAAATGTACTTGGAGCCTCTTTTGAGATACTGGGTGAAATCTTGCCAGGCAAATTTGGGTGAGATCACGTGAGATGGGCAGTGAGGAATTACCCTGTGTTGAGAACAAAGAGTCCAATTTTCTTTCTGAGTGTTGACGGGTGAGTCAAGATTCTTGATAGAGATTGGCAAAAAGCCTGTTTGCATTCATAAGCATGCAATAACTCCTGATTATTAGCTAATCTTGCCTCAGTTATATGCAAATTTGCATCCTCCCACCCACCAGATAGAAACTAGACAGTGACAATTCCTGAGATGACAACCAGAATGGTTAGTGGTAACTCTAGTTCACCACGTGGTCCCCCGAACCTCCATCCTGGGCATCAGTCAGCAATATCTCAGGGCATGCTCCATGGGCTGCAACCATATGCATCCCCTGCTCCATGGGCTTTGGCATTTGACATGTCCCATCCTCAACACATGCGCATGGTACATCTCTGATTCACTTGCACCTCCATGCTGCACTTTGAAGTGCTCTGGCATCCTTTCATTGCAAAGCTGCTGCAAGAACACTTTGCACACAGGGACAGGCACCCAGTTCATGGATCGGACCTGGCTGCATAATCAAGGCTGCTTGCTTTCTTTCTGACTGACTTTGTTTCTACTTTGACATTCACAGCATTTCTGCCTTGGCTTTTTGTGCTTTGCCCCCTCAGCCAGACCTTAAAAGTTCACAGTACCTATAGCTTTTAGCACAGGCACAAAATCAGACAGCTTGTCACGATTGTCAGCATTCATCAGTGAAAAGTTTTGGCATAATTCTGTACCATGTCAAACTTAAACTGGCACCTGGGTATACAGCAGATACACTGCATGTGTAGCAACTAATGTCTAAGGGGAGTATTCATCAGTTAAATCAGGCAAGAGACAGCTTTCTGTGGCTCCTAGCCTGCTAAGTCAAGGGCATCATCTGCGATCAATTCAGAGTTATGGACCATCAGTGAGCTCCTTGGGGTGGTGAGAAGTAGATCACTGTCAGTCCTGCAGCTCCAATTTGACCAGTCTGTGGAGTGCACTAATTTAGTCAGGGAACAGCCCATAGATCAGCTCAGGGTTCGGCTAGTCATCGTTGGGGGCTGTTTGTCCGAATAGGTCAGGGACTCATTGGGGTGAGTTCAATGGAGGTTAGCATTGGGGAAGTCAGTTCTGGAAAGTGGAGTCAGGAGGCTGGACACAATCAATAGTTGTGAAGGGTAAAAGCTCAATAAATAATGGGAAGGGAAGGCAATGGTGTTTTGGATGACATGGGATATTGAAGGAGGGAGTGTGTTGATCGTCACCATCAGGGAGTCAGTGAAGCACAATGGTTGTTCTGATGAAAGGATAGGGCCAGGGATTAGCAGAAATGTTGAGAGTTGAAGATGTAAGTGAAAATGTTGTGTTGGAGTGTGTGGAGGCTCAGTACTGTTGGGTTCGACAGAAAGTGTCAGGAAGAAAGGAACATGGAGCTTCAGGAGTCCCTTTGATCCCAAGACTGAGCCTGAGACTCACTGAGCCAAGCATAACGTGTGTTATTTCCACACTCATGTCAACTATAAATGCTCAATGGAAATAGAAAATGGCTGCCAACTATCTGCAGTTAGAGGAGTCAATTTTTTTTTCCCTGTCAGAGCACACAGGCTCTACTCATGAGTGATGAGGCCCTTCAAAATGCAATTGCATTAATCAAGCACTTTTACAATCCAGGTTGAAAACATTCAGTAATCATAGCACCCTATCTGTGAACTGCATTCACTGTTCAACTGTATGGGATACCAATTATGCTCACAAACCATCTTGACCATGTCATTAGTCATTGTAGATTGACCATAATCCTCACTGTGAAGCAGCAGTGATCACAGGTGACCTTAGATGTCTCATCTGCAGGACACAAAGAGCAAAGTCTCATTGGCTGCATGGAGGCAGAGAACTGATTCCATCTCACCTTGAACTGTACATATTTTCCATTATGCTCTTATAGTTGGGTGGAAGGGCAAGGTCTCAATCTTCATGAAGCAATTACAATATCCTCCTGTCTCATTGCAGCATGAGATGTGCTGCATTCATTGGTCCTTAGGTTCAAGTTTCATGTAACAGCATGCCCCAGGTCAGGGTCCTCATGTCCCACTAGACAGAAGACTATGTTCAGCTGCTGCAGCAGGATCTACGACATGAAGGAGTGGGTAGCCCTCCTATCCCAGTGGCCATCAAGGTGAGAGTTACACTTCTTTTATGCAAATGGCTGTTTCCAAGGATCCACAAGTGAAAACTATGTGGGATCTCTCTGAGCAAGAGTAACTTAACCTGAAACATTAACTCTGATTTCTGTCCACAGATGCTGCCAGACCTGCTGAGCTCAGTGCTGCAGACCAGGCAGTAGACTTCACCAACAAAGCTTGCTTTCCCCAGGTGCAGTGTACTATAGGCTATACATACCATTCATCAAGAGGGCCATATATAATGTAGCTGAATTCTTCAACCGAAAAGGGTTCCACTCCAAAATGCCTCCTGTAATCATCCATGCCACATCTTGGAGGTCTGTACCAGGCTGCCTGGAGCTGCCTTGAAATTTGTATCATTGAGCACTCTTATATTCCTGGTTCATTTCCAGAGCTGATGCCTTTCAGGGATTGTTACCAGGAGAGAAGGTAAATCATCACAATCTACGTTTAATTTGGCTACTTATTGAAAAATCTCACAGACAATCAAGTACTGAAACAATGATTTAAAATTTATTGCACGTAGCAACCAAAATAAGCCACCTCAAGTAAGCAAGTTAAGCCTCGCCCAATTATTGGTTGAATTTAGCTACCATTTGAACCAACAGTCTATCTCTCTGATAGAGTCACAGAGTCATACAACATGGAAACAGACTCTTTGGTCCAGGGTTTGATCCTTGTGCAATTTTGTCCTTCAAAGTTCTGCTGCTGAAGAATTCTCGTATTGGATTCTTATTCAGTTTTTCATCCTTCAGGACTATGGTGTGACATTATTGATGAATTTTTACATTCTTACATCCAAAATATTAATTACTCTTCTGGAGCCCTTGAGTCTGCAGCTTGCTGGATATCAGAAAGATATCAGAAGTAACTTCTCTGTTCCTTGTTACATTTAGCTTTAACTGTCTGTTTGTAGGCACAGCTTTCCTGTGATTAGATCCTTAAATTCTTCAGCAGGACAGTTGTTTCTCCTTGTGACATCAGGCAGCCTGTTATCAAACTGGTTTCAAAACAGCTTTGTTCATGTAGCCTCACCTCCTTCTTTTCCCAGGCATGGCTTACTGCTTTCAATCCCCTATGTATTTAACAATTTATTCCAGGAAGAATTATTACTGATCCCTTCATGTGTGACAATTTACCTTTGTTGATTCTTTCAAACCATGAAGTTATCAAACTTTGGAAGTGTATATTATCACAAAGGTAACCATGGCAGATGACTCTATTATGCAGCCCCTGGCTGAGGCTCTCTAGTGTCACATTACAGTTCATTCTTTGACAAGGCCTGTTGTAGAGCAGATAATAGGTCAGCTGAAGATGAGGTTTTGATGTTTGGTTCAGGCTGGGGATTA